CGTGGGTACAACTGAATTTCTAGTTTTTCCTAATGGAAAGCTGCTCCTTCCATGATTGCAAATTAGGCATCTAATTGCCATCCAAATTAAAGGGGCTTCCTTTTCTCCGCGTGCTGCTCACGCTGGAAGCATTCAATTCAATTCATCCAAATCCAGTAACTGCACAGAAATAGAACCCCCCAGTAAGCGGTAGCTCTGGGGGGTTTGTGTCAGGATAACGCAGTAGTTGAGGCTGGGTTTGGACCTATGGAAATGCGTTTGCAGGGCTGTTCTGCAGAAGAGAGGCTGATATTTTTTTTCCCTTGGGGATTTTTTTCCCTTGGGGATTATTTTCCTTCCCCCTGCAGCCTTCCTGGGCTCCCCTGTACAGAGGCTCCTGTCACCCCTCGGAGGCACTTCCAGGCGAATAGGAAACTGTTTGGGAAGGAATCAAACAAGGGAGTAAATGTCAACACGTTCGTGTGTGTTGTTGGGGCCAGGACCTTCACTTTTATGGGATTGGGAGGTGAAACACGCGGTGTTTGTGATCCTGGTGCGAAGAGCAAGCCCTGGTTTGTTGGAGAGGCCCCTTTCTTCCTGCTCGCCATTAACTGAACCCAAGCAGGGGCACAGTAAAAAAAAAAACATTTGAGACACTTTAAAAAAGAATAAGGGTGAAAACCCCCCAGCGGTTGGTCCTGGGGCTTGGTGCAGGGGTCGGTACCGCCCGGAATGGGAGCGCAGGGTCCCTGCAGAGCGGGGGCTCCCCGGGCCGGCGTCCGGCCAAGCTGGTCGTCCTCCTGCTCCCACCAGCAGCCAGTTTTATCGTGATTATTTGTACATATAAATGGTTATCACGTATGCACACGTGTAATATATCTAATCGCATGCACGTATATATAATAATACCTTTGTATTGCCCTTAAGCTAATGACGAGGGAGGCTGCTGCTCTCCTGGGACGTAGCTGCCCGCCCCAAGCTGCGCCCGGCCTCTCCGTTGGGTAATCGGATAAGTGGCCATCGGACAGGAACCGCAGGAAGCCGCCCCTGGGCGGGATGGGGACAGATCTCACTAACAGGGTGGGATGGGAATGGATCCTGTGGGATGGGGATGGATCCCATGGGATGGGGAATGGAGCCCACCTAACAGGGCGGGATGGGGATGGATCCCATGGGGCGGGATGGAGCCCACGTAACGGAGTGGGATCAGGATGGATCCCACCTAACGGGGCGGGATGGGGATGGATCCCACGTAATAGGGGCGGGATGGGGATGGATCCCATGTAATAGGGGCGGGATGGGGATGGATCCCGCGGGATGGGGAGGGATCCCGCTGCAGGAGGGACCTGCAAGGTCCTCGGCTCTCGCCTCCCGGCTTCCTCCGCAGCCGGATGCGGGAGGAGGCTCCTTCCCCTGCAGCCCCACGGGCCTGGGAGGGCTGTTCCGGTCCTGGCTGGGAATTCGGCTGCTCCAGGAAGACGCCAGATCCCGGTCCCTCCTGCATCAGCCCTGCTGCTCCGGGGGGACGGTGCTTGGGGAGCTCCCCCTTCCGCAGCAACGTCGCTGTCAGGGTCGATCATTCACACGGCTCCTCCCGCCCCTGCCCTCTCCGATTCCCTGTTTATTGGCAGTGGGATTTTGCCTTCCGTAAAATTGAGCCGTCCTTTGGTTTCTGCCAAGGAAGTTCCCCGGCGCACGCGGTGCAGAGCCCCGAGGTTCATTACAGGCTGTAGGAAACGCTTTGCTGCGCACGCAGTGCCCATTTCCTGGCCTGAGTGCACTAGAAAACTCGTGTCATAAATAAAGATGAAACCTGATCGGGCAGCCTAAATCCATTTAGGAAGGCAGGAAATGTTCCACGGTAATGAAGTGGGTTTGTGCCACCAGATCGTAAGACCCTGCTGCTCTCCTGCCCTGGCTGTGCCGAGCGGAGATGGCAACGCGTTGGCGAGTGCTTCCCGCGGAGGTTGATCCATGAGGGCTCCCTCCCGCCAGGGCTTGTGCGGCTGCTCCTTGGGAGCAGCGATAAAACTCGGAGAGCAGCTCAAGGCGCCTCAGGGCAGCTCCTGGTGCTCAGACCAGCCGCCTTCCTGGCGCTGGAATCCCCGAACTTGGTGATTCAGCAAATGCACAAGTTCAAGCGCTACCAGCACGCGCAGGGCTTTGTATTGCGTGGAAAAACGATACGGGCGCAGGGATGCGAGGGTTTGCTCCGGGACACGAACATGTTTCCCTGTCCCTGAGCTGCGGCCTCATCTGACAGTTGGCAGCGCAGCCCGGGTGCCCTCGCTGCTGCTCCAGCACCTCCTGCCTTGGGAGGGTTGGTTGGAGGGGCAGCGGGATCTGAGGAGGGAAAAGGCCCAGGGAGGGCAAGTGGACCAGGAGCAACTGCCCGGGAAGGGCTCCCCGTGTGCGGCCTCCTGCGCCGGGAAGGGGGAGGTTTCCACAGCTGGAGGGAGCCTGAACCCCGATCCAAAGGGAGGCTGAACCCGCTCCCCAGGCCCCTTGCTCCGCTGGAGGCCGCACGGAGGCTCCGGCCCCGCTCCGGCCGCGGTGCCGCGCGCGGATGGGAGCCCCGGGAGGCTCCACGTGTCGGTGTCACCGCGCTGTGAGCGGCCTCCTGCTCGCGGGGATCCCTCCTGTCCCCGGGGCCCAGGCCCTGCTCCGGGTGGTTCCAGTCTTTCCATTGCCGCCTTCTCTGCTGCCAACACGGGCCCCAGGAGCAGGGGCTTCCTTAGGGACTATTTAACACTTCTCTCCTCCAAGGGAGGATGTGGGGACCACAATTCCTGCAGCCCCCTGCTAAAGGGAGGATTATTCCATATTCCTGTTCTCTCTTGCCCCCCGGGGCAGGATGAATCCTTGGCTCCCAGCTCCACTATTGCAAAGATGACAGTTATTAGATTCGCATTAACTACTCAAACCAATCCCATCTCTCCTCTTTTTCCAAGGAAGCTCCGTGCCAGCAACTGCCGGCAATGGACAAAAACCCACTTTCCATCTGCTACCGTTTCCATCGGGTTCATCCCAGTTTAATTAGATGATTTATCAAATTTGTGCAAGACAGTGACACACAACACCATGGTGGCGGGCGAGGGAGTCACAGCAACAACATATACACACAAAATAAGATACACAAAACAGAACTAAATATATATATATAGGTTATTAGCAGCTATACTCTTGACTTCATAGAGGAAATGGCTTTACTTACTACAGTGTCAGGCACAGTGAGGGCTTTGCTAGTGGAAGGGCAGCAGTGAGATCCTCGCGGCAGCTCCTCCTGCAGGAATGGATCTATCCCGGGCAGCCCAACCTCTCCCTGCCCGCACGGGGAGGATGGAGGAAGCCCATGGGGCTCGCTCGGCCTCTGGCCCCTCCGTATAGAAGCTGGGGAGCATCTAAAGGGGTGTTTCAGCAGGGGTTGTGTCCCAAGGGCTTGGCCAGGCTAAACGTGGTCACATTTTCACTCGTGGGAGGAACACGGGCCCTTTCCCCGTGAGAAAGCCCCGAACGGAACCGAGGCAGGTGCCGTAACAACGCGATTAAAAATACAAACAGCAGGCAGATAATTAGCAAAAGAAGAAGAAATACTTCAGCGTTGGCAGCAGGTTGACAGCCCGGGAGGATTTTCCTCCACGGCCGCTTCCCGCGGAGGCGCAGGCCGGCCGCGCATGGGCTGGTTCTGCCCGGCCGCTCCCCACCGCTTTTCCAGCACTTACTACTCAGGGAGCCAGGGAAAATCCCAGGAAGGGGGTGCCGGAGGCCTTGGAAGGTGCGGGAACAAGTGAGGGGTTTTTTTTCCCTTCAGCAGCGAGTTTGAGTGCTCTCCAGCAGGCAGGGGGAAGGGGGATTTAGAGGGGGCTGATTTTGGCATTTTGTCTTTAAAATGGCTACTTGTGAGGTGTGGGGGTGAAGGATAAGAGAGTTTTCTTTGGGAAGAACAGCTTTGCCACATCCAAAAAAAAAAATAATAATACCAACCAACATGTCAATAGCTTTGGTGGGGGGAAGGAGACTGTCTTTAAAAGCACATGCACTGCACGAAGGCAAGAAGTGCCAACCTGCGCCGCTCGGGAGCTGTTTGCTTGGCAACCCCTCTCACCCCCGAGGATTTGGGGCAGCTCTGTCTGTGCTGACAAGAGCCAAATAAAGTCGTCTCTGCAATAGGGCTGCAGGGGCGGCCAGGCTGCAGGGAGGATGGCGAGACAGTTGTTGGAAATAACAGGGCTCAACGCTGCTCGGGGTGGCACGGCCCTTTCTTGAGGGGTAACGGTCTCTTCCTGCAAACCCGGGGGAAGGCCAAGCTTTGACGCACGTCTCACATTCGGTACCAGAGCTGCGCTTGTTCCTACGGCTCCTCCGCTTGCGGCATCGTCGCCGGCGCAGAGCCGCGGCGGCTCCGGATTGTCGGAGACGGTCAGAGAGAAACGGCCTCTGTGGAGGCTTCAGCGAAGCTGGGCAGGGAGCAAGGAAAGGGAAGATCCCCCACAGGCAGGGAAGGGAGCGGAGCCGGATAACACGGACAAGACAAACGGCTGCAGAAGCTGGTCACGCTGGGCAAAGCCTCCAGTCTTGATGCATCTCGAGCTCCCACGAACAGACACCCACGGGGGTGCCGGACAGACGAGCTCTCGTTTTTGGCTTGAGAGAACGGAGCAAAAGGAAGATTCCCCCTCCGACCGGCTATGTACAACAATACTGCACTGTGCCCTTCACTGACAGGTGCCCTCTGCTACCGCCCAGCATCGCTTAGATGAAGTTCTTTGCAGTCCCAAGGAAGGAGGAGCGAGCGCGGCGGCGGGAGGAGGGCCGAGAGCCACCCCGGCGCCCGGCCCACGCGCAGCCTTGGCTGCGGGTTCAGCACTAGCTCTCAGGCCACAGTGTCTGGTACCTCCCCAGCTGCCCGGAGCAGAGGACTCCCCCTTCTTCCAGTCCCTTCACTCCCAATCCTGTCGGGATTGGGCTAGCCCAATCCCAGCTACGACTTGCCCCCCGCTGCTGCAGGATTCCCGCGGGGATTACGCCGTCTCCTTCAGCAGTCCCAGCTTCCGGAGCGCCTCCCTTCTGGCCTCCTCCGTGGAGCCACGTCCAGAAAACCTCACCGTGACCCCCTGGGGCCGGAATCCCGAGGGCCGAGGCAGCGAGCCCGCCCTCCTCCGCATATCCAGGGCTAGAGCAGGCTGCTTGTGATCGGGAAAATCCTTCGCCGTGTTTTGCTGAGCGACCTTGTTGGCGGCAAGAGACACCTCTGGTTGGATTGCTACAGTTTTGCCCAGAGGAAGGAAAGGGCTGGGCTCGCTCCTTAAGATCTCATGGATGTTCTGGTGTCCGTTGGGAAGACCGTCTGCCTGCTGGGCTTGGC